GAATTGTGGCCAAATTTATGATCTTTTTTGCCATGGTTGTTAAGTGAAAAAAGACTAGACATTCACCTGTCCAAAATGGTATAGGATTTCCTGCTTGAGCAGGGGGCTGAACTAGAAGACCTCTAAGATCCCTTCCAGCTCCTATCCTACTCTACCCTACCCTACCCTACCCTACCCTACCCTATCCTACTCTACTCTACTCTACTCTAACCTACTCTACTCTACTCTACTCTAACCTACTCTACTCTACTCTACTCTACTCTACTCTATTCTATTCTATTCTATTCTATTCTATTCTATTCTATTCTATTCTATTCTATCATTATTCTAGTCTAGTCTAGTCTATCATTATTCTATTTTATTATTATTCTATTCCGTTCCATTCCGTTCCATTCCATTCCATTCTATTCTATTCTATTCTATTCTATTCTATTCTATTCTATTCTATTCTATTCTATTGAATCGCGGCAGTTGTTAAGATAATCAAGGGATCATTAAGCAAATCTGGCTTCCCCCTTTGACTTTGCTTGTTGGAAGCCACCTGGGAAGGTTGCAAGTGACAATCACACGACCGCGGGATGCTGCAACCATTGTAAATAAATGCCAGTGGACAAAATCCAGATTTCCAGAGGTTGTGCAAGGTCCAGTCATAAGTCATTTGTTTTAGTGTCATTATAACTTTTCATGGTTGCTAGGCAAATGGCTGTAAGTCGAGAACTACCTGTAGACCGCGAACAAAAACAGGCGCTTCCTAAAGCAACTTCATTTAGTTATTTAAAGTATTTATATTTCTCTCTAGAGAAGCTCCTCCAATATCTTCCAGGTCAAACACTATTCCAGTAGTGGCGAACCTATGGCACGGTGCGGCGGCACTCAGAGCCCTCTCTGTGGGCACGCGCACCATTGCCCCAGTCCTAGGCCTTCAGCTGGGTTTTATAAAACTTTTCGCTTTAGGTTTCCTGGCTGCAAACGTTTTTTTTTTTTTTTTTCCAAGTTAGTCAGTTAAAGTTGAAGAGTGCTTTTTTTTTCTAGAACGTTTCAACCTTAACTAACTAACTTGAAAAATCAGGGTGGGTCAGACGGCAATAGTGGTGTCGGTGCGGGTGGGTTACCCGGTGCGGGTGGGTTACCCGGTGTGGGTGGGCCGTGAGCTGTAACGTTAAGTGGGTTTTGGGTTGCAGTTTGGGCACTCGGTCTCTAAAAGGTTCCCCATCACTGCACTATTCCTTCATGTCAGAACAACTAGAGGAATAATAATAATAATAATAATAATAATAATAATAATAATAATAATAATAATAATAATAATAATAATAATAATAATAATAATAATAATAATAATAATAATAATAAAGTTGGAAGGGACCTTGGAGGTCATCTAGTCCAACCCCCTGCTCAGGCAGGAAACCCTATACCATTTCAAACAAATGTCTGTCCAGTCTCTTCTTAAAAACTTCCAGTGTTGGAGCGTTCACAGCTTCTGAAGGCAGGTTGTTCCACTGGTTAATTGTTCTAACTGTCAGGAAGTTTCTCCTTAGTTCTAGGTTGCTTCTCTCCTTGATCAGTTTCCATCCATTGCTTCTTGTCCTGCCTTCAGGCGCCTTGGAGAATAGCTTGACTCCCTCTTCTTTGTGGCAGCCCCTTAGACACGGCTATCATGTCCCCCCTCGTCCTTCTCTTCATTAAACTAGACCAGGGGTGGGGGAACCTTGGCTCTTTTATGACTCGTGGACTTCAACTCCCAGAATTCCTGAGCCAGCCATGCTGAGGGGAAAGGTAGAGGTTTCCAAGCTGAGCCATGCCCGCTCAGGAATTCTGGGAGTTGAAGTCCACGAGTCATAAAAGAGCCAAGGTTGCCTACTCCTGAACTAGACACTCCCAATTCCAGCAACCGTTCCTTATGTGTTTTAGCCTCCAGTCCCCTGATCATCTTTGTTGCTCTTCTCTGTACTCTTTCTAGAGTGCCTGTCAGTCTAAATCAGGAGTGTTCAACTTTGGCAACTTTAAGACCTGTGGACTTCAACACCCAGAATTCCCCCAACCACAAGTCTCTGGTGGGAAGGGATACTCCAAAATAAGGTCTACTGGAAAAACCTGCCCCTGTGTGGGTGCAGGACTACTTGTACCTGTAATCTCCAATTAAAAATGGTCAAAGTTACCTGGAAAGGTCTGGAAAGCTATCGAAGGCCTCTTTAGTACAGTGATCTGTCAGATTAAAGCCAGAAAAAGTTAAAAGATCAAATCTAGACTGCACTTGACTTGGAATCTCATTGGATTATCTGAGACTGGTGATTATTTCTCAACCTACGTTGCTAAATTGTGAAGAAATAATAATGCAATGGGACATAAAGGCCACCTACGTGGCCCCAATCTCCAAGGAGATTGGACGAGATATAGCCGCAGTGTATAAAAATAGAACAGTGTTAACATTTTTTGATTTGTATACAGAAACTCCCAATTTAGTTCTTTCAATTCCTATTACCTGGATTGGAAACAAAAAAAGATTGCATCTATTAGGGAAAGTAATTTATTTCTTGATTTAGGACATTCGTATACCATCCTTCGTGATTTGCACCCAAAGGACAAGGTTGCAATACGAATGAAAAATAATGAAATAGAACGAGAGAAAAACATCAAGTACTGTTTTTGATTGATGAAGCAGTTTCCGGAGTTGGTAACATAGAAGAATTGTATCCAGAAAGTCCCAAATCTCAAAGCCCGTTATTCTCAATTAAAAGGGGACAAAATGTCCATCCCTTTATGAGACCCTGAGTGAGAATAAACACCTGTGCAGCTTATGATGATGTTAAGCTGAGTCATTGAGAGGAAAAAGCTATTTTTTTCTGCAGGGCAGAACATAAGGGAAGGTGTTTCAGGTCAATGTCAGTTTTTTGGAGTGTGCCCAAAATACTGCAGAACGCTAATCTGGCTTAAATAGTGTAGTTTCCATAAGTACAGGTAGTGCTCGACTTATGACCACAATTGAGTCCAAAATTTCTGTTGTTAAGTGAGACATTTGTTAAGTGGGTTTTGTCCCATTTTACGACTTTTCTTGAATCCCTGCAGTTGATAAGTCAGTAACCCGGTTGTTAAGTGACTCTGGCTTCCCCATTGACTTTGCTTGTCAACGGTCATAAATACGAGTCAGCCAGGCATCCAAACGTCGATCACATGATCATGGGGATGCTGCAAAGGTCGTAACTATGAAAAACGATTATAAGTCAATTTTTTTCAGTGCCGTTGTAACTTTGAACGGTCACTAAGGAACTGTTGTAAGTCGAGGACTACCTGTAGAAACAGACTCTCTTTAAATGCGAGAGCTGGTTAGAATGCAGTATTGCAGGCAAACTCTGCCACAGCCAGGAATTCGATCTTGATGGGGCTCAAGGTCGACTCAGTCTTCCATCCTTCCGAGGTCGGTAAAACGAGGACTCTGATTGTTGGGGGAAATATGCTGACACTGTAAGCTGCTCAGAGAGTGCTCTAAAGCAGGGGTCTCTAACCTTTCCGGCTTTGCAGACCGGTGGGGAGGGGAGAGGTTGTGGGTGCGCTTGCTCACAGCTTCATGTTGCGCAAGTGGCGGGTTCATGCGCCTGCCCCTTGCACAAATGGAGCTTCCCGCGTACTTGCCTGCCGCTGTCTAATGCTATTGCTATTGCTAAGTTATGGAGAAACACCAAAGAGAGACACAACTTCATTCATTCATTCATTCATTCATTCATTCAATTGCCATCAATCTTACTCTCCAAAGTGCCTCTCCCATCTCCCTTTATTGTTACTTATGTACCTGCAAGAAATGAGAGGTCCTTTTAAAGCAGATAATGATAAAGGAAATCTGCATAAAGTTTACGAGGCTAAGTAGCTTGCATATTCTGAGAAAGATGGAATTTCTGTCATCAAAATCAATTTCTTCTTCATGGCATGGTTTTTCTGCCTGTGTTTGTGTGTGTGTTTGTTTGTTTGCGGTTTTAGAAGAGGGTTGGCAGCCATCCCATGACTAACAAACTCTGAGCTGAGGTTAGTTTGATGCAGCCAGCTTGCTTTATATATTTCCAGATTGGGAGAGATGCATTTTTCATCTTGGGTTCACAGCCAGTTCAGCTGTAACATAGCCCTGCTACAGTCTTAGCATAATAAGCACAAAATATTGTAGCAAGTGAGTCAGATAGGGATGAAAAAAGGAAGAAAGAAAGAAAGAAAGAAAGAAAGAAAGAAAGAAAGAAAGAAAGAAAGAAAGAAAGAAAGAAGGAAAAAAGGAAAGAAGGAAGGAAAGAAAGAAAGAAGGAAAGAAAGAAAGAAAGAAAGAAAGAAAGAAAGAAAGAAAGAAAGAAAGAAAGAAAGAAAGAAAGTTTTTTATCAAATTGATAGGACCACTTATCGCATGCAAGGTGATAAGTAAGTAAGAAAAAAAAACCTTTGACTTCTACTATCTGATGACTTTGTAGCATGGGAATGCATTCTCCAGGGCTTACCCCATTAACATTTAGCAACCCATTTATCTTCTTATTTTCACATACACACACAAACATACACACACACACACACACACACACTTCAAATTAGGGCTAAAATAGGTTTTGAAGCCTCTGCTAGGGGCTGAAAGAGGCATGAACCCTTTTATTCCTGCCATGTCCCAATGGATCATGGAGGGGTTTAAAAATATTATTAAAAAAGTGAGGACCATCCACCCACTCCCCAAAGATTGCATCCATGTTTGATTTCAACATAATTATAGAAAGGTGGGGGGAACAATATCCTTGAAAATAGGGCAACAGTATCCTCATTGACTCATTGTCACTGAAATTGCTGTTTTTATGCTGTGAATAATGTTAACGTGTTAGGCATGATGGGTTTGCTGGATATCTATACACTTAACTCAGTGAGTTCAAACGTTTTTCAGCCAGGTTGAAGCCAGTCCAGTACAGGCAATTCTCGACTCATAATCACAACTGAGCCCAAGATTTCTGTTTCTAAGGGTGAGACAATTGTTCATTGAGTTT